ACTAGCTATAACTGCTTTACCATTGGAGTTGGGCAGCTTGATGTTGTGGGAAGGGGTTAAGAACCCTCAGCAGTTGAGAGAGAAGCTTGGCTTAAGTTGACTTCTCATGTTCTTTTTCCAGGCCTTCTGGTTGCCCACCATTGATGATTGACTCTGACGCTGTTCGGCTGTTTCTGTACAGTGAGGGTGGCCAGCAGGAAAAGAACAGGACTGAGATAATGGTGGTATTGGATCATTTGACTGGGCTGGAGAGCATCCTTCCAAATGGCCTTCCCATGGATGTGCTGTACATCTGTTCAAAAGGAAAAAAATTACTTTGCCAAGCTTCTTCAAAAGGATTCTTGGTGCAGCAGACTCAATTGGGACTGAGATTTTCTAGTTGTCAACTGCACCGAGCTCCTCCAGAGGAGTGACCAGACTCATGATTAGGGTATAGTGGGGCCTTTAAGGCACCTTCTGTTTTGAATGTATTTGCTGCTGAGGAGCCGGTGAAGTTACTGATTCTGCACATCCCCTCTCCCACCCCTATAAATGCATGGGAAGCCACAGTTCTGTTTTTGAAATGCTAGAGCAGCTCAGTGCCCCTTGTCCTCACCCTGCATGTCTTGTTACTGAGTTTCCCTGTGTCATTATGGTATAATCCACAACCATCATGTTACTTAGGTGCCAAACATTTACAGAAATAAGTCTTCATATATCTTGGGGTCAGAAAGGGACAGACAGAGAAAGATCTTGCTTGCCAGGAATCCTTGCAAGTTAGTCATTTGAGTGGGGGTGATCTAGACATGCCTCAGGCTCTGAGTTTTGGGTGGGGAAAGGCTCAAGACCTTGAAAGGGAGGGACAGGTAGCAGGTGAGTTCCTAGGCTGGGACGTTCAGCAGTAACCTAGTGTGGTCCCTTTTCGTCAAGACAAATCTATGGTCCTCTTGGGTGCCTACCCAGTGTGGTGGTGTACAAAAGCAAGGTGGGAGTCTGTTTTTGTACATGAGATACATCACACTTTCCTGTGGGCCAGTATTATGGAGTGAGTCTGAGTTGTTTACACTGATGCCTTCCCTGCCCACCACAAATTGTGTACATAGTCTTCTGATGATACCACCCTCTTCCCCAGCTCCCAACCATGAGCTGGCTCTAGGCCTGTGTTATATGTTATATTTAGCCTTTTTATATATGACCTGGGATTTCTGTTTGTATTTTAGCACAGTGTGTATGCCTTCATTTAAATATATCTGTGTGTATGCATATATATATATATATATATATATATACATACATATATATATATATATAAAATAGCTGTCATTTCTCAGAGTTTAGCTGAAGGACATGGAGCTCTGCAGCCTGGGGGAAAGACTGCATTCTTGCTAATAGTGTTTGCCAGAGGTGTTAGTAAGTCGTCCCTATTACACTTTCTCCCTTCAGGAGACCGAATGAAGCAAAGCTTCAAGTGTTTGCTAATCCCATGGCAGCTAAGTGAGGGTCTTGGGATGACTCTCTTGTGTTCCTCGAGCCGCACTTTGGGGCCCTCTCTGCAGTATTAGCCCCCTTTTTTGCCTGGTGATGTTCTGTCTGCACCTACGTATGCGTGACAGTCACTTTTGCATGCCTTCTGTGTCTGGTTTACAGTATTTGGGGACAGAATGCTGGAACCAGGCCATTTTCAGTTTGTCTGAGGCTTCTTTACCAATTATAAGTCACTCCTGTTTACCTCTTACGTCTTTTTTCTTTTCCTTGCCTTCTCTTGGGAGAGGGAAGGGTCCTGATCAGGGTTGAGTTGAGCTGTGGCTGGCTTATGGCCTTTTTCCTCCCCTACATGGCCTTAGAGCAGGATGAAGTGCATGGGTTTTTTTTTCCACTAAATTCCCAAACATTTAAGCAGGTAACATACTCCCTGCACATCCAGAAACAGACTAAACAAGGTTATGACTTGTCCAAGAGGACTTGCTTGAGTGCACAGTTGCTAGAAGGAAAGCAAGTCATTACTGCCTCTGTTCAGCAGCAGGAATAGGCTATGAACTGCAAGCAATTACTGTTTTGTTTTAGTAATTACTGTTTATTTTTAATCCTCACCTGAGGTTATGTTTATTGATTTTAGAGAGGGAGAAAGAGAAACATTGACTTGTTGCCTCCTCTATGTGCCCTGACTGGGGATCAAACCCACAATCTGACCAGGGATCAAACCTGTGACCTTCTGGTGTACAGGATGATGCTCCAACCAACTGAACCACCTGGCAAAGGCAGCAGTTACTTTTTGACTTACTCCTCAAACTTGAAAGTCAAGGGGCATGCATGCATCTTTCCCAATATAGACTAGAACCTGCAGCTTCTATGACAGTCACTGTTAATAGCTTGGCCATGTCAGAGTGATGGGACTTTTCGAAACCAAGTGGTCTGAGCTGTTACTGCCACTTCTGGCTTTCAGGGTAGAAAATTCATGGTAGGAATAATGTTCAGAGTGCTTGGAACTGGGTTAACAAGAAAACCTGCTTAATTAACATCTGTATCAAGAGCAACCACCAAGCATGACTTGTCTCTTAGTGAGAAAATGATTTGTATTGAGCTGTGTCCAAAGCTGAGACAAGACATCCTTTAAAAGATATGCATTGCATGGCCCCTACTTACGGGGACCCGTGGCTGCAGAGTTGAGAAGGGAAAAGATGCAGCTGGAAGTGACGAGATGGTTTGGTGGTAGGAGTAAGTCAGAATAAAGGGAGAAAAAGGCGGTGGGCCAGAGAGGATGAGGGCTGAGGCTGCAAGGATGCTATCAGTGGGAGCCAGAGGTGCTTGAGGTCTTAGTAAGGAGGAGCTGCTCACCACTCAAGGGCCAAAGCCACCGATTTGTATGTGACAGTAACACTGCACTATTCAGCCACCAACTAGTGGGTTATTTTTTTAAGGAGTAACTTCCCTGTTGCAATTATAATTAATGCTTATTAAAGAAAAAATGAGAATTTTAAAGAATCAGTTTGCTACCCAAATGCTACCACTGTTAATCTTTTGGTGTTAAATGTTTCTCCAGACATTTCTGTGTAGATTTTTGGTGTGTTTACATAGTTGTTATTCTACTGTATATACAATTTTATGTCCCTTTTGTACTTAACATAAACATTTTTTCCATGTTACCTGTCTTAAACAGAATTTTATGGCTGCATCCTCTTCCATTGAATTTCTGTAGCATTGTTTGCTTGGTTCCTAGAGTTGCCGGGAAAGGTGGGTTGTCTCCTGGCTCACACTGGGACTTGCTGTAATGCTGTGCGGATGGATTGTTGGGATCCTTGGGTAATGCCCTTGACTGTCCATGGTGACTAAGGCTTACTGACTGGTGGGAGAAACTCCTAGACTCAGCCCTCAATGCCTAGCGCCCTGGGTTGCTTCAACTCCAGCCTCTAATCAACCATATGGCCAGAAATGATTAACTGGGAAAGGCCAGCCTGAGCCAACCTTGATCTTCAAAGACTGCACCTGGCATGTACCTCAGGCCACCTTTCATTCCCACTGTTACCTCAGTTCTTGATCAGATTGGCAGCCTCTAGCTGGAATAAGAGTTGTCCTGCTAGGCTCTGGCTTCTGGGGGGCAAGTATAGTGGTACTTCTTTGAGGCTCCTATGCCAGTTCTGGCAGAAGGCCTGGCCAATTGCTTGGTAACCCATTGCTTGGCTTGTGAGTTGTGAACTCCTAGAGCCTATGACTTGGCTCTCTCCTCAAAGATGCAAGGACCTGCTTGCTGTCTGCCTCATTCCTGGCCTTGGGCCCATCACTTTGCCCACTGTTACTGGAGGTTGGCCAAGGGCTCTGAAGGGCAGCAGAGGGAACATGCCAGCTTGTGAGTGGTAGACCACACATAGGCTCTCCTGACAGATTGCTCAAGGAGGAAGAGACCTCACAGCCTGGTGGGAAGGCTGCCATAGTGTTTGGCCCAGCTGAGACGTGAATACATAGGTCAGTGTAGCTGCCCCTGCCATAGTCACTTCCTGTTGGTTTGGCTTGCTTGCAGTTGAGACCCACTGCACCCATTCCCTGGGCCTCAGCCTTTGGTATGAGAAGCAAGGGTAAGCAGTGGGGTCTGGGGATGAACTGGTTTAGCTGTTAATGTGGGTGAAGGGCAGGTACAGTATGCTGTCCATGCTTTTGGGGGAGGGGCAGGAGACTGCAGAGGAAAGAGGAAGTAAAACTCCTGCAGACTGTTCAGGCATACTCCTGCATTTGCCAGCTACCTAACTAACGGAGCCCTGGGGAGGCTGTCCAGGGCTGCTGGGGCTGACCACAGTTTGTGAGGACCCAGCTGTGCCAGGTGTAGGTCCAGAAGTGCTGAGCTGTGGAATATGACTGAAAAATGAGAAATTGCAGTTTTTCCTATCTCTTCCCTAAAGAACATACAGAAAATGGTGTCTAAAATGAATTAAGGGCAGGAAAGGGTGTCTGAGATCCTCCTCAGTGAGTTAGTAAATGCATGAGTATTACTGTCAATTCTGGGACCTATTGGCCCTTGTTCTTCCTGGCTGCTGCCTAGGACTGAGTTACCTGGTAAGAACTCATCTCAATCGTAAACCAAAGTAGTGGAACAGGGAGAAGCTGAGGAAGGCTGAGGTCATGGAAGTGATACTTTGTAAATGAATAAACATTTTCCTAGCACCTGAGCCTTGGCAAGTGCTAGGTGGTAAAAGTCTTGTGGGGAACGTAGGTACTAAGCTGCTCATCAAAATGCAAGCCCTGGAGCTTTGCATTAAAAACAAGTTAAAGGGCAGTCCTTTTGGCACCTCAAGCCCAGAACTCACAGATGGCCGTGGAGACCCCCTTTCTGTTCCCCAGGCAACAATCTTTTCATTGGGGCCCACCCCAAGCTGGGAACTAGGGAGGCCACAGAGAAAAAAAGACAGTGCTGACAATAGGTAAGCTTGCAAGGTAGAGCTAAGACTGATTCTTTGCAAGGTCAAAGAGCAAAAGATACACTGTAATGCCAAGCTGTACAGCAACTTGATACACAAGGGCTTTTCTGAACACAAACATTTAATCATAGGTGATGGGGAGCAACAACAAAGGCATTATTGGGGCACGAACCTAGGGTGGGACTAGGGCCTGGGAGGAGCAATCAGGATGCAAGTCCAGAGGCAGGAACAGCAATTGGGAGGGAATTCCCCCACTCAGCCAACTGGGGCTCCTCTTGCCCCCTTTCGTTTTCCAACTTTAGCCGCAGGACATGCTTCAGGATGGCTGTTCAGTAGATGAGGCTCCCCACAACTTCCCATAAGGTTCCCTATATGAGCTTTGGGGTTGTTAAGTAGATAACCCTGACATTCACAGAATGGAGACTTGGATCCAAACATAGGCTATCTGCCCCTCCCAGCATCCTTGGCCAATTCCCTTAGTCCAGCTGTCCCTGCTGGGAATAATATATTGGATTATTAAGGATCCTGCCTGAAGAGCCCCCTGACTGTTGCAGCTTGTAAAATGCCTGCCAGAGGGATGTTATCACTGACACTAGCACTGTTTTCCTGCCTGCCAAAGGAGGGACCTGGGGAGCTGGGTACTCTGCACTCTTCAGCTGTCTGCTTGGTATAAATGCTCCCTTTGAAATGGGTTGGGGTGCGGGGCAAGAGCCCTGGGCTGTGTCTGGAGGCAGGGCAGGCCGGCTTGCTGTTGTCCACAGTGGAGAGATGCCCAGATTGCACTTGGCCCTGAGTGGTTCAGGGATGCAGTGTCTGAATCTTCAGTGGCCACTGTTCCTTTGGCCCTGGCTGTATAGGGGAATCACGAACACAGAGATGTCGTCGTAGGACACCTGCCCTTCCCCTGTGAGACCGTTGTCCTTCCCCTGTGTGCTGTGTATCAGCATCTGGGCCAGCTCCGAGAACCTGTGGGGACCATCCTGCATATGTACTCTGAGGGCCACAGCAAAGGCCAACCCTCAGGGAGAACTCTCAGCACTGGGCTAGACAGTTGGGGACCTAAGTAATATAGTCCAACTGTGGGGCCAGGCAAGCTACAAGCCTGGGAGGGTCACAGATTGGATCACAAGAGTCTGGATCCAGAGATTTATTGGACCCACAATCACCCCCACCCCAAGAACCTTGACAGCACACTAATCCTGACCACCTGCCCTGAGCTGGGCTCATCATCAGCACTGTCTTCTCAGCCATAACTATGTCTTGGTGTTGCTGCTGGCACCCAGGCCCAGGCAGGTCCCCAGCAATTACAGTACCTCTGTGGGTCCTCTTGATTGCCAGGGAGGAAGCTCCGCACTATTTGTGCCACCTGCTCATTGGAGAGGACATCCCAGAGCCCATCAGTTGCCATGACAACCACATCGTTGTCCTGTGGCTCCAACTGGTCCATATCCAGCACTGTCACCTGCAAGTTAAGCCTGAGGATCCCTCAGTGTTCCCTTCCTGGCTCCCACCTGCCTCATTGTGTACCTTTCTGGGCAGATGGGACCTGGGGTGGGCTGCTGCCCTCTCACCTGTGGGACAGAAAGCAAGAAGGGCTTGAGCTGAATGTTTGTGTCCAAGACTCTGAGCTCATGGTCTCCCAGGCCCCGGGAGACGGCCAGTGTTCCCAGTAACCGAGCCTGGGGACAAAAGAGATGTGAGGAGACAGCAAATAACCCCAGCAAATTGACAAGTAAAGCATAGAGGTGCACTGTGGTCCTCAGGCACCCTGGACCTTGGAGCAGACCCCAGGACACCAGCCAAAAGACACAAAGGAGCTCCTACACTTTGTAGGGGGCAACTGAAGAGGGATTCTTGGAGGGGGGGCCATTCACTGACCTGCCTACCCTGTCCATGGATCAGTGGGTACTTGAGATCCGACTTCTCCACGCACTTGTAGCTCCTATCAGGAGCAGACTCAGCATCAACTCAGGTCCTATTTCCCACCTCATCCCCCCTCAGCACGGGGCCCACCGTGCTCAGGTGGAAGCCCCGGGCCACACATGGTTCCCCACCGTACTCCCCACCCCCAGCTTGCTCACCAGCCGCTCATGTGGTGATCCCTGAACAAAACCTTCTGCCCTAAGTCATCCCCCTTCAGTCGCCGAGGGAACTCCAGTCGGGTGAATTCACCAGCCAGAAGCTCAGGGTAGACAAAGGCCTGGGGTAGGGAGGCCATACTCAGATCAGGCTCTCGCTGGTGGCCCTAGACTGAGGAGTTGGGGCTCCACAACCTCTGCCAAGGGCACCTACCAGATGCTGGATCCGCTGTCGCTCAGTCTCTGGGGTGAACTCAGAGCTCAGAGGCCGTACCTCATCTCTCTGCACCAAGATGGCCCTGGGTGGGATTGTGGAGGAGAGGGAGAGGTCTGTGGTGTGGCCTCCCTCCTCCTGGCCCCTCCTCCAACTACTAGGTCCCAGCTCTGCCATGCAACCCCTCCATGACTGTCTACAGGTAAAGGTTCAGCCCTTTCAGGCTGTGCCCTCCCTGGCATCTGCTGTCCACTCTTACTCCATACAGGCCAGGTATACAAATAACTCAGCCAGTCAAGCCTCCCCATTTCCATCCTTCACCTACAGCCCCCTTGCACTGTCCCCACTGCCCCTGGTGCCTGCCTGCCCACATGCCCCACTCTCCAGAGCTCACTTACCTGCTATCTCCAGCATTGGCCACGTACAGCTTTCCCAGCAGGGACACAGCCACCAGGGCTGTGCAACCGCCCACTTGGCCTGAGGCCTCCAGCTCCCGCCCGATCACCTCATCCTAGGGCAAACCAAGGCCCCTTTAGCTACTGCTTTTACTACCACCATATCACTCTGTTCCCGATCCCCATCCTGCAGTTCATCTTCCCACCAACCAGCCTGGCAGACCCAGCCCAAAGTCTAGCTATGACTCCAGGATCCCGTGGTCAGAGCTGGATGTATCCCTTGGGAGGGAGGGAAGTCCTATTCAAAGCAGTGAGGATGGGGAACCAACCCCGGCACCAAGGAACAACAAAGGGTGTGCAATGAGATGATGCAAGTGAAAGCACATGGCGCATAGTAGGCACTGGATAAATGAGCCGGGTTATGACGACAATGATGGTGGTTAGTAAGGAACAAGCCAACCCAATCTTGTCTTTCCATTTTAAACACCAAAGGTGACGACCACTGTGTACAGGAGTGCCCCACAACCTGGAGTCCCTCAGGTCCCTGGGGACAAAAACCTTCACTCCTTCCCCAGCCAAAGGCCACACTTAACTTACACATTCCTGGAAGGCGCTCTCCAGAGCTCCGATCACCAAGTCTTCTGTTCTAATGCCCTTTTCCTCCACAAACTGGGGATCACTGGGGCAGACACAGTGGCCACTGAGGTGCATGGGGGGCTGAGTGGCCACCAAGCCCTCTGCTATGGCCTCCAATTGCCGCCGCAGGCAGGAGTGCAGGGTATTGGCAGCCAGGATGGCTGCAGCTGGACCGCCGTGCCCATCAAACAGTGCCCAGTAATGACCTGTCAGGAACTGCACAGGAAAGGGTTGGCATTAAGTTCTTCCTTGCTTCCCCAGTGGACCCCTGGCCCAGTATGGGGCACTGGGGCAAGAGCTTCAGCCTGAAGTCTTAGCCCCAGTTCTGACCTGTAAGAGAGGCTGAGACCCAGTTGTGCTCACCTCTTCTGGGCACAAGGTCACCCACTCCTGGTCCTCTTCAGCCCCAAACTCACATCGCCGGATGCGCAGCTTCCCACAGGCGGCTTGATCCTCATTGAACTCAGATTTCTCTGCATTGATGATCCTGAGGCCAGGAAGTGATCAGTGACCCTTCAGGGATCACAGAGACCAGAGATGGTGCACAGAAGGAGGAGCCCTCCTTCTGGGGCAATAGCCTCCACATTGTCCCTTATACCTGGACAAAGATGGTGTAAGTTCCTAACTGTTCAGTGACCTCCTGGCTAAGGCAAAACTCAGGGCCCAGCCCCTCTGAGCCTGCCTGCTGACCTGGACTGGGAAGTAAGGGCGGGGCTGCCTGGGGAGATCTGGGGCTTCCTTGCCTATTTCCCCTGAGAATCCCTGTCCCATACTGCACAGGCCACGACACAGGGTGAGGGGGAAGGAGTAGAGTGAGCGAGCGAGTGAGTGAGTGAGTGAGTGTGGTGGGGCAAGGGTGGGGAATGGTGTAGTAGTTATCTCCAAAGCCCACAATTCTGGCCCTCTACCCAGAGTCCCGGTCTCACGTTGGAAGCCCCTGGGGTGCAGGTCATTCCCAACTTGCAGTTCTCTCTAAGGGAGGCTGGAGTCCCAAAGAAAAGTCAGAGGTGGGATAGGGGGAGTTTGTCAAGAGTCCAGAGGTGACAACAAAGAGTTATCCACGAGGTTGGGGGAGGGTGGTCACTCACTCAGTTCACCCGGTTTTCTAGCTCTGCACAGGCCCCCAGGCTGGATCAACAAGGGTCCGGGGTCGGGAGCTCCGTTACAAGGGTCGTGGGAGTGGGGAGTGGTGGATGGGGGTCGCTCATCGGGGGAGGGGCGCGGACACTCACTCTGCGTAACCTGCATTCCAGGGCAGCGCGCGGCCCCGCGCCGGGCAGCGCACAGGCCGGGCTTCCGGGCAGCGCGGGGCGTCGGTTGTGCCGGGGCAGGAGCCCGAGCCGCGCAGGAAGCGGGGCCGCCGGTAGGGCACGGGGCTGGCGCGCGGCCTCGGGGGCCGCGGCGCAGGGAGCGGACCTCCCGGCAGGAAACGACGCCGGAACCAGCCGGCGGACATCGCACGGCGGCACAGGGCTGCCCGCAGAGAGTTGGGTAGAAGAACTAGACCCGACAACACCCGACCGCCAGCCCCTAGGAGGAGGAAGCGCCCCGCGAGGCGGGGCGGGGCGGGGAGGTCAGGGGCGGGGCGGTGACTCCCCTAAACCGCAGCCTAGCTGCTGAGTCTGTGTGCGCGCGGCCTGTTGCCGTCGGGCTAGTCCAGCCTCTTAACAGCCGTAAGAAGGAAACGCTGTTACCCGCCCCACCTTACTGGCCAGAAAATTGTAGCCTAGTGAGAGAAGTCGCTTGCCCCGTGTCACCTAATATCCTGAGCAGGCTCATCGTTCACCCACATGTGTGGGGCACTAGCCTTGGCGAGGGAAATGCCCCCCCTACCCCCACCCAAGGAAGCCCAGTAGGGATTCAGAGCACACCCTGGGCCTCCAGGCTGGGTCAGTGTCTATGGCAGAGCATCAGTCTCCCTCCTGATGAGCCCGGACCTTACGCAAGGGTAAGATGGGAACAGGATGTCCTTAGAGGTGTGGGACTGGCTCACTGAGTGAGTCTCAGAGCCCAGCGTTCTCCTCAGGTGCCCTCAGTGCCTCACGGGCTCAGCCCAGCACTCTCCCCCTCAGGATGACTTTATTCCTCCCGAGACACCGTTCCCACTCTCAGGCCAGTCTCTCCTCTCTGGGCAGAAAGCCGGATCCTCACTAGAGGGTGAGTGACGGACAGTAGGACTCCATGGTCCCCAAAAGGCTCCAACTGGTCAGAGTTCAGACCTGGGATGAAAGTAAGTGAAAGACTTTCATCTGGACTGGGAGCACGGTGTTGCAATCTGACTAGCTGTCATTGTAGGGTCTGTGGCAGTGTGCCTCTTCACATCTGCGTGTTAACAGAGTGCTTTTGTCACCCTCTGTCACTTAAGCCCAATGCCCTGTGCAGGGCTGTTATTTCCATCTCATAACGGGGACTCTGAGGCCCACGCAGGAGAAGTATCCTGACGCCCAGTGGTGTGCTATTTCCATTATGACAGTGCAATTGACTCAAAACCCACTCCCCAGGGGGTTTCTCTTCCCCTTTCTTCCTCCAGGAAGGCAGGCAGCCAACTGAAAGCCCTGAGGCCGACAGCCCAGGGCCCCCAGGGAAGGCTACAGGAGGAGTCCCTACCTCTGCTCCTAAACCCAGCACATACTCACTAGGCCTTACTTCCTCCAGGTTGGCCAGCCCTGTCCCATTGGGAGTTTCCCTACTTCAAAAGAACAATTCTTGGGGCAGGGAGTTGTGCCCAATACCTCCTTCCTCTGATGAGTCAGTTCCAGAGAACCTAGGAGCTAATTTACTGAGCCCACTGCGTTTGCCAGGCCTTATGCTGGGTGCAGGAGTGTAGGTAGCATTAAAGGATAGGAGCTCCCCTGCAGTGATGGTGAAGTCCTTTTGGACGGTGCTTGTTCCAGCTGGCAAGGGGGTAGGGATAGGAGAAAGCTTCCCAAAGGATATCTGAGCTCTGACCTGTCATTGGGCAGAATTGGACCAGGGACCCAGAGTTGGGCAGACCTAATTCAGTCTCTGGGGTTACCTCATCCCTACCAGCCAATGGCTCAGAGGTTTTTAAAGCCTAAAATTACAGGAAATAGTACAAACACAGTTTATTCCTCCAACGCACTCTCATGGACGCTCCTCATTGGGATGAAGCTCCTGTTCTCTAATTTGTATTCAGAGAAGCTTCTGATGGCCAGATGTCACAGGTGGTTTGTTACCCAGCTAAGCCATTTTAAGTTTTCAAAGCCATGTGGAGCCCTATGACAATCCCATTCTACCTGTTCCAAGGTATCCTGAGTGTTCCTTCAGTGACACCAGGATCCTCTGGATCCCTTGGCCGGGGGGTCGGGGGTGGGGAGGAGAGATCGATGTGAGAGAGAAACATTGAGCTGTTGCCTCTTGTATGTGCCCCGACCAGGGATCAAACCTGTAACCCTGGTGTGTGCCCTGACCAGGAATCGAACCCCAACGTTTTGGTGCTTGGGACAATGCTTAACCAATTGAACCACTGGGTCAGGGCTCTGCCTTTGCTTTTGACTGATATTTTGGCTCAGAATTCTGACTGCTCTGTTTATTAACTTTTGCTATTATTGCTGCTGAAGAACAGTGTCCCTCTTATTCCCAGACCTTTGGATTGCCTTGTCTTTACCTTTTTCTCTCTCCAGAAACTTTCTGGTTCTTCTTTCTCTGGTGTCTGAAATTGTAGGCAAGAGGCCTTACAGAGTGGGTCTGTCTCATTCCTGGTCTTGCCCTCCTTCCAGGCCATTCAATTCCTCACTCCCTAGTGACATTCTTCTAGACACCCCATTCAACTGCTTGCATGAACTCAGATCAAGTGCGCCCTCTTCTGGGAGGCCTCACCTCAGCTAAATCAGCCAGCGTGTGAGGGATGGAGAGTGTGAAAGGAGCAAACTTAGAAAAAAGAGAAAAGCTTTTATACTACATTTTTTTCACTCATAATGAAAGTAGCTTTTGTTGAGTCCCACATCTGTCCTTAACAAAATTTAGGTTTTTTTTTTAAATTTAATACTTACACATGATTCAAAATGAAAGGGGTATAACAGTGTATGTAACAGCTCTCCCTTACAACTCCATCCCCTGGCCACGCAGCTTTCCTCCCTGCAGGCATCCAATATTACTGCTTTCTTGTGGATCCTTCCAGAGATATCGGGGTATTCTGTGGAAATTCAAGCAAAAAAAAATTATGCCACATATAAGACAAGAAATAACAAGTGCTGGTGAGGATGTGGAGGAAAGGGAAGTGTTGTGTACCGTTTCTGGGAATGTAAATTGGTGCAGCCACTGTGGAAAGCAGGATGGCGGTTCCTGAAGAAATTAAGGGGATTGGAGTGCTAGCAGAGAGATGGAAAGAAGTGGCTGGATTTGGGAGGGCTGTAGGAAGTGGAACTGAGGGCTGGCAAAGTTAGCTAACTTGTCCAAAGTCACATAGTGACCACTTAAATTTATATTAATTAAAATAAAATTTAATATTAATTAAATTTATATTAATTAAATTTATATTAATTAAAGATTCCACCTTCTCAGTGACACCAGTGACACCGGCCACATTATGAGTACTCAATAGACACATATAGCTACCTTATTGAACAGGCAAATTATATAACACTTCCATTGTCACTGGAAGTGACAACGGAAAGTGCAGCTGGACAGCACTCACTTAGAATCTGGGTCTCCTGATGTTCCTTCTAAGGCTCAGGCCGATTCCTTACTCGGTTTGGAGTCTCTGAGTGTTTGAGGGTTGAGGTCAGCACCTGTAGCTTGTGCTTGACCTGGAGGTGCTTTCCAGCCTTTAAAAAAGAGCAGAGTCCAAAGCAGCAGAATTATTCCCGCCCCCTTACTACATTACAAGGTAGTGACTGAGAAGTAGAGAGCAGCTGTCACTAATGTGTTCCTGTGAATTTGATCACAGGGCCACCAGATCTGCCTGGACACTCAGGGACCAAGCACAGACCCTTCTTCATGTGCGACTGCATGAAGCACTCAGGAATTTGCTCAGCTTCTGAAAATACTGGCACACAGCATGGACTTTCATGGCTGTAATCGCACATGTCTGAATTAGATGTCAGAAGAATATTATTTACTTTTGGTGGGTACGTATTATCTGTAAGGAAATAAAATGGGTATTGGAGCAACTACAACTCAATCTTCCATCTCAGAGGTTTATTGACTTGAATCCCCCTAGAATCAGTAGCAGGATCTGATACTGTAATAAAATGGACTCACTTTTCATATTTTTTTCTCTAGTGCTGGTGGTGGTACAAAGACATTTTTAAAGACAAGCACTTGTTTACATTGTCCTTGCTCATGTATTATTTTTGTGGTGATTTTTATAACAGTCCTGCTGTTCCCGATAGTGGCTTCCACCTCACCTAAGTGCAGAGCCAGGATAGCAAGTCCATGGCACAGGTCTTTGCCCTCTTCCTTACAATTGTCATTAATCAGTTACAGGACATTCCCCCAACTCCAGATATGGCCTTAGAATCCTTCTCTGCCCAGTAGTCCAAGCCAGGGGAGAGAATAGGTCAGAAACATAGTTGCTATCCTTGGATTAGGGACGGGCATTTTGTCTGAAGTGGTGCAAGATACAATTCACCTCTCAGAACAGCAAGAGAAAATTGTTCAGAGCTGTCTAGTTCTGAGAAACAGGTGAACATTCTTGCTATTTTGGGTCGATTAAGGAGGAATGGTTTGCCTAGTCAATGTGGCAGTGATGCTCACTGGTGGATGTAGCTAAATGGTGGATGTAGCATCACAGAGAATAATAGGAACCCTCAGCATGATGATGAAAATGCTTCCCAGCACTTCTATTAGGCTTCTTTTTTTTTTTTTTTTTTTTGTCTGACTGATGAGACCTGGGGCTGTCTCTGAGCCAAATTTGGCAGAAGCATGTTGTGTCTCAGACCTGGTTCTGACTTCACTGGCTTTGTTGTAAACCACTTCCCAGATGTCCCACTCAGACAAGCAGACTAACTGAGGTGGAATGAAAGGATCCTGGAGCTTGGGGAGATCCAGAGAACATGCGCTTGTGAATGGATACATGAACATAGTCTGGTATTCCCTAAAATGAGTTCCATGGAACCATTCTCCACGTGTTGATAGAAGTTGTAGGTTAAAAGGGTTTCATGGTCAGTTATGCTTTGGAAATGCTGGTTTAAGCAAAGTAAAACAAGTTCCTTTAATGCAGGACGTCTCTGTATGACAGTACGTCTTGTGATTCTCCAAAATGGTGATTCGATATACTGCTTGTTTCAAACTTATTTGATCACAGGATATTTTTCCTTTTTCTTTTTTAATCTATGAAATGTCTTGCAAAATTAGTATTCTAAGAAACACATTTTGGGAAACACAATGCTGGTCCAAATTCCTCATTTTAGAGGTGACAAGAAATGAATTCCAAATGGGTTAGCATAACTTTCTCAAGGTCTTGTAAGAAGGTGGTTAGTCTGGGATTCAAACTTGTCTGAGGCCAGTGCTTGGTCCACCACGT